ATCTATCTATCTATCTATCTATCTATCTATCTATCTATCTATCTATCCTCCCTCTCTTCCATGTATTAATGTCTTTTTGCCTATGCCTGTCTATCATCCATCCATCCAATTTCAAGGCCATCTGACTCCTTAAAGACTCTGGATGACTTAGAAATGAAAAACAAAAGCAGTCGTTATAAAAAGATCACAGCCAACCAAAAGAATGATATAGTCAACTATAACATTGAACTTGATTAATGAGGACTTCAAAACTACACTGTCACAAGGCCTGGAATAACAACCAAATTTTTTAGTGATCTCTGGAATGTTATTAGCGTAGTAGGAGCTATGAAGCAATAAGGGACAGATGCTGAAAGATATAAGATTACACTCTTTAGTTCATAAAGATTCTAATAAAACTGTGGCAGTAAATCTGGAGACAGATACAGTTAGTGACATACTGGAAGTCAATACACATACCAATACCAAAGAAAGAAGACTAAACATGTAAACTATGTAAACTATTGTGTAGTACTCTTAATTTCACACACTAGCAAAATAATCCAACACAGACTAGAGCAAGGGTCTCCAACCTTGGCAACTTTAAGCCTGGAGGATTTCAACTCCCAGAATTCCGGGAACTTCTGGGAACTGAAGTCCTCTAGGCTTAACGTTGCCAAGGTTGGAGACCCCTGGACTAGAGCTCTACATGAAATGCCTTTGTCTAAAATGGTATAGGGTTTCCTGCCTTAGTAGGGAGTTAGACTAGAAGACTTCCAAGCTCTCTTCCAACTCTGTTATTCTGTTATTCTGGAGACAGAAACACCAGATGCTCAAACTGACTTTGGATGGAGGAACACAAAGCATTATTGCCAATATATATGGGATAATCAAACAACAGCAAAAAGAGATGTACTTCATTGATTACAGAAATGTCTTTGATGGTGTTGATGATGTTAAGGTCTGCAGTGTATTTAGAAAAATGGGAATCTCAGAACATTCTCCTCCTCATGGAAAACATATCCATAGATCAGGAAACCATAGTACAAACATATTGGCCTTAGGTTAGCAAAATAATATATAATGGTATGTGGAAATGAGCTTGAAAGACAGGTGGAAGAGCTGCAGGAGACAAGGATCAGACAAGTGGAAACTGAGCCCTCAGAAGAACGTGGGTGCGGTAAACATCTCAGAACAGACACTCCCTAATTTCTTGGATTTTAAAAATGAAGTGGAGAGAGATGTACTTTCACACCTGCAATTTTCTGTAATGTAATCTTACAATAGACTTAGAACTAATATTTCTGGGTGTGCTTCTTGTCTGAATTATCTCACAAGTTTGACAGTGTGAGACAATATTTATTGGAATGTGATGTGATGTTCTCAATCAAAGCAATATCCTTTAATATAATCTGTATCAAGCCATAACACTGAAAATTTCTGACTTTATTTTGCTAATAAACTGTGAGAGAGTAATTAGCTATAGGTCTATAATCTTGTTAAAAGTACATCCCATTAATATTAACATGCATCTTCTTTTATGTTAATAAAAGTTAACTAAAACACTAATTGAAATATTAACACAATTTAATATGAAAATTATTTTTTAAAAGGGCATTGTGTAACATTCTCTTTCAAAAATTCATCCTGGCAGAGATTATAGCTTAATGACATTTCATTAGGACATTTATTTCCTGTACAAAAACATTCTCATTCAGTTTGTAAAATTTCCAAATAGGGCTGGGAAAAGTTGTCTCTAAAGCCCTGAAGAAGTGCTGTTTCTCAGAAAAGACAATACTTAACTATGCAGTCTAACCAGCATAAGGATGTTTTTGTGTCCGTGTGATTTCTGGATTTTTATCTTAGCTAAGATTTACTATGCAAACTGCTAATATAATAAGGATGTAAGACAGAACTAACTGCATTTCTCAACTACTGCAGGACTGACATGGATTAAAAATGCTGTTGTCATCTGATGTAACTTCTGATATGGGTAACAAAGATGTATTGTTGTGCCATATGCGCCCCAATTCTGTCAGGCAAAAGGAAGACAGGTCACATATGTAAGAGCATGTGTAAATGTATGGTACACAAATGGAATTTTCTTTGAAATGGAAAGACATCAGCAGAGCTTCTGCATTGCTTTGTAAATGGGTAAATAAAACATATTACAAATACACCAACCTCTATCACAACGCTCTCCACTGTAGCTTGGATCACATTCGCAGTAGGGTTCCCCTTGTGCAGAGATCTTACACTGTCCGTGGTTACATTTTAGAAATCTGCAGGAGTTGGAGGAATCATTTTTTCGATCACAGTGCATACCTGTGTAATCTTCTATACACTTGCATGTATAAGCAGAGTTGGTGGCAAAGCACTTTCCATGAAGGCATCTTATAGAAGAAAGGGGGGAAAATCTGTTGGATTTCACATTGCTTCATCCCACATTTATCACACATTCCTTTTATCTGTAAGGAAAGTTACACTGAACGAAACTTACTTGTTGCCAAGGCAGGGATCGTTAAGTTCTTGATCACACAGTGAACCTGTCCAGCCTGGATGGCACTCACAGACCACACTTGACTTTTCAAGAGAGCGGCAAATTCCATGCTTACAGATGTTACAGGATTTGCAACCAGGAAGGACTCCTACAGACTGATGTGGTAGTTCTTTGAAATCCTGCAGCTCATTATTAATTCGGACATCATGAATACACCCATGAAAGCCACTTGGTGTCCTCTCTGTCCCCTGCCTCAATGAAGACAGCCCTCTAGATGTGGGAATTCCTGCAAAGGAAGTTACAAAATGCTTTGTGAATGATTTGAGTAACTCTATGATATTTCACTTGAAAGTAATGACATAGTGGCACAAGATTAGATAAGCAGATTGCAGCAGTTTATTAGTGATCTCTCTCTCGTATCTATCATCTATCTATCTATCTATCTATCTATCTATCTATCTATCTATCTATCTATCTATCTATCTATCTATCTATCTCTTCTATGGCATCATTTACTACACTTTAGTTTTGTGCATAGCATTTCAAAAATGTATGCTGAAAAAAAGCAAACATTTGCACAGATTTTGAAGTCCATACATATATATAAATACTAATAGAGGAGCTCAGGGTTGAAATGAGGGGCCTTTGATGCTCTCTGAGCTTGCTTGTTTTCTTGCAGACATTTCATCACCCTAACTAGGTAACCTCATCAGTGCTAGTGAGGAGTGCTGTTTCCTGTTTATATTCAGGTGTCTTGTCTGTCTGTGTGGGTGAGGGCGGTTTTAGAGATTCTTTGGTTGGGCTGTTTACTGTTGGTTCTTTGACCGCTTCTTTTTTCGGGATTTTGCTTACTTGATCATTGGTCTGAAATTAACCTTGGAGTTCATCTATGCTCATCTGAGTGCTGACTTCTAGTGTAGAGGTGCTGGAACCTTTTTCTCTTTTGGGCTGGTTGATTATATCTTTTGCGTAATCTGTAGATGCTGTTAAAGTCCGTGTGTCTATTGATGGCTGATTTGTCCAAGTGCCACGCTTCTAGAAATTCCCTGGCATTTTTGGACTTGGCCTGGTCTAGCATTGTCACATTTTCACAATTAAAACTACAGTTAAATGTGTTGTGAAATTAAAGAATTTTCATCATGTCTTCTGATTGCCAGTTGGTGTTCATGAATTTGTTCTGCCAGTCTTCTGCCTGTTTGTCCTCCATGGTGGTTGCTGTACTTCTTACATTGTATGTTGAAGATAACTCTTGTTTTTTCATTGGGGAGGAGTCATCTACAACATACAATGTAAGAACTCCATACCAGCACTAAGGATGTTACCTAGTTAGGCTAATGAAATGTCTGCAAGAAAATAAGCAAGCTCAGAGGTTAGCAAGGACCCCTCAAATATATAAATTTAAAATAATAATAATAACATCAACATATTATTTTGCTGTGGGATAGCATTGCGGTTCAGGCAAAAAGATTGGAATCTTCTGCAATTATTTCACATTTCAGCTAATTGTCTTTTATTGTGCACTTGTGGAGGTCTTAAGAGTATTATTTAGCATCACCTTCAGTTGAAATTATGCAGAAATCAGAACTCACCTCCAATGTACAGTGGAGTATCATGACCAACCACGGGTTGCTTCTGCAGTTTGCCAATGCTTTTGGGAGTGCCTTTATCTACTACCAAATTCAAGGTCTGGTTCAACATCACCAGCTCCACACTATGAAACTGTCCGTCATTTACTGTCTCCACGCTTTCAGAATAAAAACAACAGCAAGAAAAGGGTATTAGAAGCTATGATAAATAGCTTTTGCAATTATCTGATCTCCATATAATTGCCAAGGAAAATAGAAATGTAAGAGAGTTCATATATGCAGTTAGAATAAAAGAATTAGAAAAAGGTACAAAATAAGAGTAACTGCAATCATTCTAGACATGAGTCAGTTAGCAAATGCCTGAATTTTTAATCACGACCAGGGGAATGCTGCAATGGTTATAAGAGTGAAAAATGGTCATAAGTCACTTTTTTCAGTGCTGTTGTAACTTCGAACAGTCACCAAGCAAACTGTCGCAAGTTGAGGACTACCAGTATTTTAAAGGTCTTTGAGAAAGTCTAGGCCTTTGTAAACATTAAAATAGACAATTATTAGATTTCGTTTTCAGAAAACAATAGTTCCGATAAAACTTGTTTTCCTAACTTTTAGCAATGTGAGGACTCTTTTCCTTCCTTCACACTTAACTCATCTTTAATTGGTATGTAAGTTAGAAGACAGAACCAGGCTCTGCCAAAAAGTTTTTACTACTCAGTTTATTGAATTCTGAAGATGAAACTGGTTTGCTTGTCCATGAAAGAACCTTCTGAAAAGTCCATAGCTCAACTTCCTGTGTCAGGGATAAATGGAAGATGCCCTTTCCTATAAGTGAGGAAAGGTGCTTATTTTAAGGAAAACTCTTTTCAATGATTTCTGTCCAGGCAGAAACTGACAGGGGGAAATGTTTTGAAGGGCACTTACTTAATAAAGAATCCTAAGAGAATGCTTCAGCCGAGGGCCAGTTGCTCAGGAAGTTAAACATTGATTCTTATTTGAATCAGAAAGTTAAACACGTGTTTATATCTCTGTGATTCCAACACACATAACTGGAACATTGGCTGGCTTATGCATCAGTGTTTTCTAGGTGTGTTGCTTCAAGAGAAGCCTGGAAATCTGCATTTTGTTCAATCAGCAACTGCTGCCCCCTCAAAAAGACAACCCTGGATTCTGGGATAGGGTTTCTTTTCAAGAAGATAAATGCTCATTCATTTCACCCCTAGAAAGTCTGGTTTGATGCTGTTTCAGGAGGATCCTCAATGATCAGAGACAGTCAGAGACAGTGGCTTGGCAAGAGATTAATGGAAGAAAACCACAGACACTGAACTGCGCACCACAGTTGAGCCAGCAACACACGAAGGCTGTGATTTTGATAGAGAAAAAGGCTATATCCTACAACAAGGTGATTGTATTAAAATTGGAGCTGATTCAAGTGTCTTCACACTGATCCTTCAAAAACAATGCCATAGATGAAAACATTCATATGTCAAGACTTAATTACAAAATGTGACAATCAACCAGAAGAGTCCCATTATTTGAAACACAGGATAATAATTTCTTAGCATTCCTACACTAGCGGCAATATCACTATAGATAACAGTTTCAGTAGTTTATTATTATAACTTTATATATAAGAGATATTATTAACTTTATATATAAGAGATAAATACAGCTAAAGAAAGATGCAGTCTCATGATTTATTTCTAGATGGCAGTAGAGTATCACAAGAATATAATTTTTAGACGGAAAAAAGCAAAACAAAACTGTACTGCTTGCACATTACCCAACATGCTATACATTCACTTCAAATCAGAATGTAAACAAATAACAGACTAGAAGTTAGATCAGGATAATCTACCACCCAAATTAAAGCTTTCGAAGAAGGAAGAAGAATGAGACTGATCCCCACAATTGGCAAAAGAATATCTGAATTAGAATTGCAAACATACCTAACGCTCTTTCAAAAGTTACTTTGGTAAGAAATAGCAATAAGGGGATGTGCGTGTGAGAGAAAAAGAAACATTAAAATGGGAATTGGATTGGTTCCAATTTTTGTGTTTGGATTCAAAAAGCCAAAGCTTGTCTTAACAACTGTTTGCCAACCAATTAGAAACAGTTCTCTAGTTTTCACTTTGGGCTAAATTCCAATAAACCTATTAAAATGCTGTATACTAAGTAGAAGCTGCCTTGTTTAGAATCATTCCTCTGGAATTCACAATATATATTTTTTTCAAACTTATTGAACTATAAACACTTTTCAAGATAACCAGCTGTATTTCATTTGACACTTCCAAGAAAATAAAATAGCCATATTCCATCTATATTCAAAGGAAAGAAAAACATTCATAAAAATAAAATGACAATTTATGGAAAATGGCTGTCAGCAACACTTATCAAAGATAGGACAAGAGAATACAATGCAGATCCTATACTAAGCCACTTTGATAACCTTCACCCAATTCTGAGAAAGAAATAAAATTAAATAGTAAATCATAATTATGATTCATGAAACTGGTATTGAGAGAACAGGCCTGCTCAGGAGGATAATAGAACAATAATAGTATTACTTATCATTGTATTATCATTTTATTCACTTATTTGCTTACTCAAAAATTATTCTTACTTTTGTAGGCTTATTCTCCTAATAACCTCATAATAATACATTCTCATAATAGTAACATTATTAAAATGCATTTTAAAAGAGACATTATAAAAAAGATAGTACTCTGATCCAACAGCAAAAAATGGAAATATTCTGTCATATAACATTTGTTATTCATAATATTTCCT